CATCTCCGTTGTCCGTCCGGTTGGCTGCGATTGCATGTGGTCCGCCAAGAAGCCTTTCTGATTCGTCCAGGGATCCCACTTGGGTACTGAAGTCTCCGGCGACTACTACGATGTCCGTTGATCGAGTACTTTGGAGTAATTGAGAAAGGTCTTTGTAGAATTTATCCTTAATTTGTGGCGCACTGCAATCAGTCGGAGCATACACCGATACGACGAACAGGCGTCGACGCTTCGTTCTGTAACTGTTGACCCGTTGAGACGTACAGTGCAGTCGGATACTGACTGCAATCCAGTCAAGAAGCGAGCACTCAGCCTTGGCACTTAGCGCAATCCCGACACCAGCAACACCGCGAGCTTCGGATGCCGAATCGCCCGACACACCGAGGGTGAAGCGTGAGGTTGAATTTGGGTTAGGAGACCGCAGAGAGATAATTAAAGTAGGGTCTTGTGTGCGTGTTTTGGAGACAGAGCATACATCTAAATTGAAAGTTTCAAGGGTTCTGGCTAAGGCAGGTTGTTGACCAATCGGATAGTGTGCGGATATTGAATGCGGCTAAGTGGAAAGGGAATTTTGGCTTCAAAAATCCTGTAACTCCTCGTTGTTTGACCTTGCTGGTAAAACGCTGAGTGATATTCGATGGGTCTTGTAAACAGGCGTTTGGGATTATTCTGGACTGAAAGGAAGAACTAGACAGATGGGAAAAACGTGTTTTCAAATGAGTGTCTAAGACTTCAGGCACGGCATACTTCGCGGCAGCTGACATTGATGAAGGTATTCTCACACTGATTTGAACATTCCGATTTTTCTTTTAATCCTTCATCCCAAAGGGCAGTCATGATTTGCTTTGGACCCTATGGTCCAAGGTTTGAGCTCCGCCACCGCCATCCAACTTTGGTGGTAGGCAGCTTGGCTGTCGTCCGATTCAATACCACGCCTAACCTAGCGGGGCCTTATGTGGTTCACCCCACCAAGTCCCGGGGCTTACATCACCGGTTTCCGTGACGGGGCAACAGGTCTTCGTGACTACGGGATTCATCCCGTGTGTAATAAAAAAACCGGTGAACGAAAGCGCACGGTTAATGGTCACAAAAACTGAGGACCGAAAACGAGTGGGACAGCAACAATAAGATAATATGTAACGTCAACCTCACCCTAAGCCATCTAGGCTTTTAATTACCAAGAAAATAAACCCTGAAGAATGCAGGGCGCATA